TTCTACACCCCGGCAGACTTCCAAATTGGTGCCCTCATACAGATCTTCAAACATCGCTTTAGAATAACAGATGCCGATGAGTATGTGTTAAAATATTTGGAATCACATGCTCAGATATATCCAATCACCACCATCAACTCCATTAGAGAAAAGCATGGGAGACCACCAACAACCACAGAGGAGCTGCTAGCAAATGTGCCCCAGGGAGACACTGATCCTAATCTGTGGAAAAGCCAGCCAGATGGGATCAAGACAGAATACCAGAGAAGGTAATCACAAAATAGATAGCAGAACATTATAAGAGAGTTGTAGGAGATGACAATATCAATCCAGTGTATATTAAGGGGAGCTGATGGTTACAGTGAATTGGCAGATGCCATTTTGAAGTGCAGGATTAACTTTGCTAGAACATAAGTACTATGATAGGAGCTTTATTACTGTCAAAATTTAAAAACTGTGAACACCTGGAATATCTCAGGGATTTTTATAGTGTTGTGCCCAATCATGATAAAGATCTTACAAGCAAGCCACAAATTACCAGTAATTTGCAGTACAAAAAAATTCCAGGAAGATTGCTGGCATTAACAGTTTTCTGAGTTTCACAGTAATGAGTACAGAACTGCCAAAACAGATATGTCCAGTGAAATTAAGTTAGCACTTTTCATCCTCATATTATACTCTTCTCCTTATTATGTTCTGTTTAAATCTTTTACAGGTTTTGAGAGACAAACGTTGTGTGAAAGGAAGACCAAAGATTGATTTAAAATAATTAATTTTGTATATTTTATTTGTCTTTTGAACACTTCAAGCAGACAAAAAAAACTGCACAATTCTTAAATATTGTATATACAAAACATTAATGGCAGTAGAAAAAACATAACATTGTTTTCTGTATTAAACGTTCTATTTCATAACAGGTCATTCATCATGTACTCTTTTGCCTCATTTTATGACAGCACTAGGAAATTCAAGAGAGAGCTTACTTTAACAAGAAAACTGTAACATTGGAAATATTATAGATAGACAAAGAGAAGAAATAAAAAAAACCAAGTAATTTTAGTATCTTTTAGTTGTAGATTCCTTGTGGTTAAGAAAACTTATCCATGACAGATGAACGAATAAAATCACCCAAGGAAGGCACAATTCCATGAAATAGATGCCTCTGTGTGTATATTTTGCGTCACACAGTATTTTTATCCAGCTCAAATTTTTTTGTTGTAAGTTCATTCCAATGATACACCAAATGGCAACTTGCTGTTGTTCCACACAAAATATGTTCATGATGGTGTACTAGGATAGATCTGATGTTATCTCTGTATAACAAATGACTGTGTACCACTCTCTTTTCTTGCTTGATTTTTTCCAGTCTGTCAATTACTTGCCACTGTCTTTGTGCTTTCCACATGATCCTGTAGATTATTTAATCCACACAATTATAATAATAATATTATTTTTGTTAGGTCAAAAACACATACTCTTGCTTACTCCTAGCTTCTTTTATAAATAAACTAAGGGCGCTTTCCATTTCTCAGAACTGGCCAGCCGCATCATAGCCGAACCAGTCATTTTGACTATAAATCGGCTTTTTCCAAGGGTTTTTGCTGAAAAACTATCTCCTTCCTACACACTATTTCACAGGATTTGACCGATCTGGCTGGATAGTTCTGATTAATAGTGAAATTCTCATTACCGCGGTAAGGGTTGGCTGGTCAGTTCTGACAAATGAAAAGCGCCCTTAGTTCTAAGCTGGAACTTGATGGACTCCATCCCCCCACCCCCTGAAAAAGTCGAACTCCTGGATTGCCCCTGATATGGGCTACCTTTGGTGAATAAAGTCAAGCCTCACAGTGACCTCTTTAAAATGAACACCTCACTAAAACGGACACCTAGACCAGTTGGTCCCTGCCTTTCTTTACTCCCTTTAGTTTAATAAGACAGACATCTCCAGCGTTTTCAATGAGAGCGGGTGGCTGGCAAAATTCGCCAGCTATTTCTCGTGAACAGGCCGCCTACTTTTCTTTGGAAATTACCCCAGTTTAAATAGAGTATTCATGTGCTGTTACTGAATAAAAAAGCTAAAATTTAATGATGTCATTGCCCTTCCACGTCGAAGGTCTCGGGTTTGACTCCTGGCGGGTGAGACTTTTTCTCTTTTTTTTGCGTAGTCATAGTGTTTTGTTTTGTTTCTTTTTAAAAAAACATATAGGAAGTGTTTTGCAGCATCAATTTATTAGGAAATAACGTCACATTTGACAGTAAACCTAAAAAAGCTTGAACGCACTTCGTAAACGGAGATTACTACTAGTTATATTTGTGAAATGTGAAATGCGACATTTGAACCAGACCTAAGATGGCAAGTTGTTTTTAAGGAACAAAGCTTTTCTTTACCTTGTGCATGCATGCTCAGATGCTCAAATACTCAGATGAGTCATCTATTTAACTTCCTTCTCCCTACACCTTCTGTTGAACATTGCTAACATGTCCATGAGTTTGAGGCTGTTAGTTTTCATGGTCAGGGTGTCTTTGTCATCTGTTAACAAATGAAATAACTGTGTTATGATAGATATCTGAAAGCTGACAGTTTTTCTGACTATTATGCTGGTGTACCCTACTGATCTTAGGAAAAATGCACCACTCACTGCTCACAGCTTACTATTTAAACAAAGCCTTTTTTATAGGCAGTCTAGGCACTTCTCAGAGACTCATGATAAAGAAAAATAACAAAAAAATATTCTGAAGACATGTTACATAACTGTCTTTCAATGCCAGGTTTTCATATTTCGGGAAAATCCCAGATGATCAGGGATTTTACTTTTTGTCAACCATCCCAGATTTTGCTGATCTACTGAAAAACACAGGGGGTCTGTCTCCTGATAGGGGAAATGCTGGAGCCAATCAAGATGAGTGAAATCCATCGCCGCGTCCCCAACGGTACAAATTTGAGTTCTCATTTGTTGGAAATGATTGCCGACCATCACAGAAATCTGGGACGCGCCAGGAAAGTAGAAACACTACCCAATTCTCCAGATTTGTCCCTGACTGTCCCAGATGATTGGAGATATCTACGATTTTGAGTTTTCATTAACTGTGTTCTCCCTGAATTTTAGCTCAGCAGGTAAGGGACCAATCCTGGCTGGTTAGGCAGAAAATATGCACCAGAGGTGCAATATTCCTAGGGGAGGGGTTGGGGGGTAGTGGAGTGAGGAAAATGGATCTGCCTCGCTGGGAAATTTAGGAGTTAAGTTCTCTGAAATGTCATTTCCTCATTTTAAGACCTATTTTATGCAAATCAAAGTGTCGTAATGTTTAGACAACAATAAAACTGGTAAAATTATTGGAATCAAACGTTTTAAATTATTTAAAACGTTTGATTCCAATAATCTTACCAGTGTCTTTAATGTTTTCTTTCCAAAACACGTGGCCAATAAAAACAAAAGCTGTGTATTCTTTAAATATTACTTTTCCATATACCTGGTATTCATTCATTTCCTTGTGAGAATTGGATCAGATCACAACTTGTGTTTTTTCTTTAAACAATTTAATTTAAGAAAACTTTCACACTGTTGTAGGCAGTAAGAAATGTCGCTTCAGGCGGTAACAGTTACCGGTTACTGCCTGATAAGGAGAACACTGCATAAGTCAGCAAAGTCGGGGATGGTCGGGAAACAGTACAATCCCCAATTTTCCCTACACGAAAACCGGGCTACGCTTAAATCAGCTGTAAATGAAATACTATGGTGTGACCAAACAAATGAAACCTCTCTCGTAGTACTTTTTTAAGGTATAAATTTATTTCGTTTTTAGTACATTCCTACATTAGTTTTTCTTCAGAGAAAATATGACAATCACAGGAGTAAAACATGACTAATAAAGTCACGAACTGCTATTAAACAAGAGTCCAGGTTTTTTTTTCCTGCAAGGCACAAATATTGTCCCCCACTTACTGAAAACAACCTGCACCACTGGCTCTGATCCATCGTTCTTGATATCTGATATAATTTCACATTTAGCATTGGAGTCCCTCATACTTTTACTTGAAACTCTTCTAAGAAATTCCCTAAAAATTGCAAATGAACAAGAAATTGAAATATGCATGGAACCACACAACACAGGTTAAAACTGCTAGGTTTAATATTATTTACAGGTGCCAGTGAAGGAGCAACTGAAGGTGTAAAGATTAGGGCAAGGATTTTACAGGATGCTTTAGTTACACCTCCACTTTACATCTTCCAAGAGATGCTTATACCAGAAGCATGCATAATATTAGCAAATTATGTAATTAGCATGGAAGTACCAACCGAGGACACTATTGTTACATCTACTAAGTCTGGAGATGGGACTGTCACTTCACATGTGGTCATCCAAGTCATTCAACGGTCTTGCCATTTACAAGGTAAAAACAGTGCCTTCATTTCTCAGTTATTTAAAAGATCCTCAGCATTGGTCCTGCCTTGCGAATGATACCTACGACATCCTGCTCTGCAGTCAAGCATTCTACAAACTGAGCTAGTCCTGAGTGCACGGTTGGCACTACAGTCAAAACCCCACTTTACGGACATGTAAAATTTTGTACACCCACTTCTAGGACACCTCATTATCACAGACAGTTTGCTTTGTCCCTGGGGAAAGAAAGCCCTTACATTTTCTCTAAATTCAACCCACTTAATAGGGACACCCCGTCAATACGGACACTCACTATGGCCCCCTCATGCCAGTGTCTGTATTATAGGAGTTTGACTACAGTTGACTGTTCTACAGCAAAATATCATTGATGAGGCCTTCTTAGGGGAGGGGAGGGAGCGTCCCTGGTCTGAATTTCAAAAGCAGTCATGTTTAGTATAGACTTTTTTCACATGACATCATGCTGGCCATATTGGTGTCCCAAAAACAATGAAACTGCGGCCATGTTGTGTCCCAAACCAATCGTGTGGGAGTTGAACTCTTTTCTTATGCAACCGCTTTCTTTTCTTCCAATAAATTTGCATAGTTGCTGGCCATGTGAGTATAATGCAATCCATTGAAAAGAAGGCCATCCTGCATGCTGTCAGTGAGATTTTCCTCATCACTGTCGCAGTTTTAATAGTCTCATCCCACCTTCATGTCTTTTGCTGCTATTTCAACTGTCTTATGTCACCGTTTCAAGGCCATGTCGCTTGTTGGAATTTTACCCCAACAGGGCTCCACTGGTTACAAGTACCACTTGAAAAGTGTAGTGTTACTATCATGTTTGTTTACTCATTGAAAAATATTCAAAATGGTCCATTTTTCCCATGAACTTGCGCTGTTACTTTATAAGTGGTGATAATGTGCCAAAATAAAGGCAACCTCTACACTCGAAAGGGAAAAATAATGTGAAAATATTAACCTGGTTGCAGGGGGACTGGACTGGGCCTATAAGGGTCAGTTATAATAGGCCATCAATCACGAAATAGTGCAAGTTTTTTTCTTAGTCGGAAAATAATTTATAACCTCTTTAACTTTACCTTGCTGTTGCTGTCATAGGATCAAAAGGACAAAACGAAACGGTGACTTTTGCTACTTGTTTCAAAGAGGCACCTCTAATAGCCGCCATTTTGAATTGAATAACAACCACGTGATATTGATGACATCATACCCAAACCTGTTTATCCGGTTTTTTATACTAAACAGTTTCTTTCGGCGCCATTTCTTTAGACGTATCGCAAAAGGTTGCAATCACTGAATAAAAATGCCGAGAACGTCTCGGAGAAAGCGCTCTCTTAGCTCAGGAGACGAAAATTCGGTAACTTACTACTCTAAGCATCGATGTGTTGACAGGGAATATAGTCCTGCCCCAACTCAGATGAGTCATCTATTTAACTTCCTTCTCCCTACACCTTCTGTTGAACATTGCTAACATGTCCATGAGTTTGAGGCTGTTAGTTTTCATGGTCAGGGTGTCTTTGTCATCTGTTAACAAATGAAATAACTGTGTTATGATAGATATCTGAAAGCTGACAGTTTTTCTGACTATTATGCTGGTGTACCCTACTGATCTTAGGAAAAATGCACCACTCACTGCTCACAGCTTACTATTTAAACAAAGCCTTTTTTATAGGCAGTCTAGGCACTTCTCAGAGACTCATGATAAAGAAAAATAACAAAAAAATATTCTGAAGACATGTTACATAACTGTCTTTCAATGCCAGGTTTTCATATTTCGGGAAAATCCCAGATGATCAGGGATTTTACTTTTTGTCAACCATCCCAGATTTTGCTGATCTACTGAAAAACACAGGGGGTCTGTCTCCTGATAGGGGAAATGCTGGAGCCAATCAAGATGAGTGAAATCCATCGCCGCGTCCCCAACGGTACAAATTTGAGTTCTCATTTGTTGGAAATGATTGCCGACCATCACAGAAATCTGGGACGCGCCAGGAAAGTAGAAACACTACCCAATTCTCCAGATTTGTCCCTGACTGTCCCAGATGATTGGAGATATCTACGATTTTGAGTTTTCATTAACTGTGTTCTCCCTGAATTTTAGCTCAGCAGTTAAGGGACCAATCCTGGCTGGTTAGGCAAAAAATAGGTGCCAGAGGTGCAATATTCCTAGGGGAGGGGTTGGGGGGTAGTGGAGTGAGGAAAATGGATTGGCCTCGCTGGGAAATTTAGGAGCTAAGTTCTCTGAAACGTCATTTCCTCATTTTAAGACCTATTTTACACAAATCAAACTGTTGTAATATTTAGACAACAATAAAACTGGTAAAATTATTGGAATCAAACGTTTCAAATAATTTAAAACGTTTGATTCCAATAATTTTACCAGTGTCTTAAATATGTTTTCTTTCCGAAAGACGTGGCCCATAAAAACAAAAGCTGTGTATTCTTTAAATATTACTTCTCCATATACCTGGTATTCATTCATTTCCTTGTGAGAATCGGATCAGATCGTGACTTGCGTTTTTTTTTTAAACAACTAATTTAATGTAAGAAAACTTTCAAGCTGTTGTAGGCAGTAAGAAATGTTACTTCAGGCAGTAACAGTTACCCATTACTGCCTGATAAGGAGAACACTGCATAAGTCAGCAAAATCTGGGATGGTTGGGAAACAGTAAAATCCCCAATTTTCCCTACACGAAAACCAGGCTACGCTTAAATCAGCTGTAAATGAAATACTATGGTGTGACCAAACAAATGAAACCTCTCTCGTAGTACTTTTATAAATTTATTTAGTTTTTAGTACATTCCTACATTAGTTTTTCTTCAGAGAAAATATGACAATCACAGGAGTAAAACATGACTAATAAAGTCACGAACTGCTATTAAACAAGACTCCAGGTTGTTTTTTCCTGCAAGGCACAAATATTGTCCCCCACTTACTGAAAACAACTTGCACCACTGGCTCTGATCCATCGTTCTTGATATCTGATATAATTTCACATTTAGCATTGGAGTCCCTCATACTTTTACTTGAAACTCTTCTAAGAAATTCCCTTAAAATTGCAAATGAACAAAAAATTGAAATATGCATGGAACTACACAACACAGATTAAAACTGCTAGGTTTAATATTATTTACAGGTGACAGTGAGGGAGCAACTGAAGGTGCAAAGATTAGGGCAAGGATTTTACAGGATGCTTTAGTTACACCTCCACTTTACACCTTTCAAGAGATGCTTATACCAGAAGCATGTATAATATTAGCAAATTATGTAATTAGCATGGAAGTACTAACCGAGGACACTATTGTTACATCTACTAAGTCTGGAGATGGGACTGTCACTTCACATGTGGTCATCCAAGTCATTCAACGGTCTTGCCATTTACAAGGTAAAAAAAGTGCCTTCATTTCTCAGTTATTTAAAAGATCCTCAGCATTGGTCCTGCCCTGCGAATGATACCTACAACATCCTGCTCTGCAGTCAAGCTTTCTACAAACTGAGCTAGTCCTGAGTGCACGGTTGGCACTACAGTCAAAACCCCACTTTACGGACACCCACTTCTAGTACACCTCATTATCACAGACAGTTTGCTTTGTCCCTGGGGAAAGAAAGCCTTTACATTTTCTCATTCAACCCACTTAATAGGGACACCCCGTTAATACGGACACCCACTATTCCCCCCTCACACAGGAAAAAATAACGGATTCTCATTGTTGGATATTTTAGGGTATTTACAGAATACCCAAAAAATCCCAAATTTGGCAAAGTGAGACAAGTCCCAACCAGGGAATTCCCAACCAAGTTCCCTGATTGGGACTTGCCTCACTCTTGCAAATTTGGGATTTTTGTGGGTATTCTTTAAAAATACCCTAAAATATCCAAAAATGGGAATCCGTTATTTTTTCCTGTGAGTGTCTGAATTATAGGAGTTTGACTACAGTTGACTGTTCCACAGCAAAATATCATTGATGAGGCCTTCTTAGGGGAGGGGGGTGTCCCTTGTCTGAATTTTAAAAGCAGTCATGTTTTGTATAGAGTGTTTTCACTTGACGTCACAGCGACCATATTGGTGTCCCAAAACAATGAAACTGCGGCCATGTTGGTGTCCCAAACCAATCGTGTGGGAGTTGAACTCTTTTCTTATGTAAACGCTTTCTTTTGTTCCAATAAATTTGCTTAGATGCTGGCCACGTGAGTATAATGTGATCCATTGAAAAGAAGGCCATCCTGCATGCTGTCAGTGAGATTTTCCTCATCACTGTCGCAGTTTTATTAGTCTCATCCCAACTTTATGTCTTTTGCTGCTATTTCAGCTGTCTTATGTCACCGTTTCAAGGCCATGTCGCTTGTTGGAATTTTACCCCAACAGGGCTCCACTGGTTACTAGTACTGACTTGAAAAGTGTAGTGTTACTATCATGTCTTTTTACTCATTGAAAAATATTCAGAATGGTCTATTTTTCCCATGAACTTGCGCTGTTACTTTATAAGTGGTGATAATGTGCCAAAAGAAAGGCAACCTCTACACTCGAAAGGGAAAAATACTGTGAAAATATTAACCTGGTTGCAGGGGGACTGGACTATGTCTATAAGGGTCAGTTATCCATCAAGAAAAAGTGCAAGTTTTTTTCTTAGTCGGAAAATAATTTATAACCTCTTAAACTTTACCTTGCTGTTGCTGTCATAGGATCAAAAGGACAAAACGAAACGGTGACTTTTGCTACTTGTTTCAAAGAGGCACCTCTAATAGCCGCCATTTTGAATTGAATAACAACCACGTGATTATTGATGACATCACACCCAAACCTGTTTATCCGGTTTTTTATGCAAAACAGATTCTTTCGGCGCCATTTCTTTTGACGTATCTCAGAAGGTTGCAATCACTGAATAAAAATGCCGAGAACGTCTCGGAGAAAGCGCTCTCTTAGCTCAGGAGACGAAAATTCGGTAACTTACTACTCTAAGCATCGATGTGTTGACAGGGAATATAGTCCTGCCCCAGAAAGTCGCCATGTCAAACATTACAGTTCGAGGAGTCGTAGTCGAGAGCGAAGGAGACGTCATCGCCATTCTTCCAGAAACCGAAGTCATAGTGCGCGACGCAGTGATCGAAAGTTGAGACGACAGAAACATCGCAATGAACCTACTGCTGTTTCTACGGTAAGAGGCGATATTAGTTGTCTTTTCCGGTCGTTTTATTCAATAGGTATTTCGCTATAAATTTGGTATCAAGGCCCTTGATACCTTGATACCTTGTAAACTTCGTACACACTCAGGGGATGAATTGAATTTCACAGAGCTTAAAACGTTTCTCGGACTTAAACGTGCTGCTTAACGTTAAATGCCAGCTTTACGAATTAATGCAAAAAAAGTGCGAGTATCTTGTAGAGAGATCGCGAATCGCAATGGATTTCAAAGTTGTCGTGACGTGACCCATCACCACTGTTGTCGGTTTCTCTTGAAATGAACACCACGTGGTGGACGTTACGTTCGGTTGCTCATATTGATAAGAAAATAATGGTCAATAAAGCAAAAATAACTTATAGATTTACATTTGTTAAAATTTAAGGGCCATACTTCCCCTCATCCCCCTTTTTAAATTTTTTTTTCCTCGCGGAGTTTCTTAATATGTGAGAAATAGTAAGCTAATCATGTATGTACATACTAATATTATGGCGGGGTTCGGTGTAGAAATCTCACCTAGAATGCCAACAAAATCCGTCGTTTCCCCTGTTATATGAATGCAGATGTGGAAGGTCTGTTTACATGTAAAAAAAACTGTACATGCAAGTCAATTCGGAGGCTGTGATGGTTTGGAGGACAGCCTCAAGGAGAGTCAATTAATTATTTGTTTAGAGGTTTTCCTTTATGCTGTTCATTTGCAACAGTATGAGAATTATTGCTCTGTTTATGGAGATTGTGCACAGAGGTGTACCTCTTTAAGGGTTGCATCCATCAAGGTTCAAATTATTAAAACTCCGCATGGATATGTACACACAAATAGAAATTGAACATTAAAGAAACTAACTTTTGTAGATTCCTTGAAGTCAACCAATCAGATGTTAGAAATGAGTATAGTTTTGCAATGACTGTCAAATAGAGTAACTTACCAAAACTGCCTGCATCAAATTAATTTGCAGACAGTTTTACAGCTTTTCCAGTTAACACTTAATCCCTATCCAGTTTTAACGCTCCAAGCCCCAATATGATTATAATAATATTTTTCCTTTTTGATGCAAATTCTGGTCAATGAAAGAGGTTATAAGAATAAATCATACACCAAAGTAAATTAATTGAAACAACTGTCTGCTAGTATTTATATACTATAGCTCCTAAGGAATTACAGTTTAGCACTTCTAACACTTTGCTACATGAATTTATGTAAAAATTATGCTTCCATTACGACTTGGTAAAGTTTTTGACATGTTCTCTACAATTTGGTGATAATTTGAGTGGGATCCATGTACCACCAAACCAATCAAACTCCAAGATGTTTTACGATAACTCTGGAATTTCTCGCATGCTGATTTTTTTAAAACTATTGTTAAGGCCATGGAAAAAAAAAAAGTAATAATGGTACAATTTGTTTGGTTTTTGTTACTTTTAAGGGACCGTCACTCTAGAGAGGAAAACAAGTGCGCAAGCAAAATGATGAGCTTAATGCAACGAAAAAAAGTAATGTCATATGTTTAACAACAAAGAACAAAAAAATATGCAAATACTGGTCATTGCTGAATGCATCTTTTAGCCATGAACAATGAATATCACAGACGGGACATCTCTTTGTATTTTTTCGGATTTTGGCCAATTTACCGTAGATTCAAGAGAGGACTTATAGAAAATAACCAAAAAATATCAATATTTTTTCTTGTTCTACACTCTACATTTGGGGTGTAAATCCATCATGTTATTGCATAAACTCGTCATCTTGCTCCTGCAATCGGTTAGTTTTTTTTCTCTCTAAAGTGATGGTCCCATAAAAATAACGCACAAAGTATAAACACATATAGAGATTGTATATTTGCAGTGCAGCTCAAAGGGTTAATTCTATTTGACAGTCAATCAAAAACTGCTCAAACAATGTTTAATGAATAAAACTCATGTGCTACCTGTGTGTGTATATTTTGCTATTTTCTATATGTTTGAAAACGGGGCGGAACTGTGGACATGATCACGCTGACGCAACATGAAATTATGATGCGATGAATTGAACCTGTGCCTCCGCTGAAATATGTCTATGAATGAATGAATTGCTCATGTCATATGGATGAATTACCCGGCCGGTACAGAAGCCAGCATATGAAGACGATACAAGCAGAGGCTTGTCAGGCGTCAAGGATGACGAGGACGGTCACCTGATATATCGTCATGGCGACATGCTGAACTCCAGATGTACTAATTTTTCTTGTTTCATACAGTAGCTGGTAGATACATGTTACTAATACATCGTTAAATCAGGACTTATTCGTTTTCTAAAATAGTAGTTTAAATTCTACTAAGCTATTGGTCATCAATGGCATCTTAGAATACACTTTTCATTTGATAACTTGTGTTTTCTCTAATTGTACCTCTATTTGGTGTTTATGCCCTTAAAAGTAGTTAATGTGTAATAATTATAAAAACTGGCGTAAATTAATTCCTGCCAATTTTTGTTAGCTGCTATCTGAGCTGACTGTTTTCATTATTTGACTTGAAATAATAATAATATTATTATGTTGTATTGCATTATTAGTACTCAAGTAAAAAAGTTCATATCTTAACTGATTTGCTCTTTTAGCTATAAGTTTCTTACCTTCATGTAGAAAGGAACTTGGCTTGTAACTTTTAATGTGGTTATTTTCAGATGAAATAAACAGTTTATTAGGTGAAGGAACATTTGGAAAAGTTCTTGATTGTTTTGACAGGTAAGTTTTGTTCTCTACCTAAACTGATTTGCATGTTTGTGTCAAAGTGAAGAAGGAGGGGTTTGTGAGGAGTGGGAGGGGGGAAGGGGCAGTAATGCAATGATAAAAGGTTACATATATTCCATTCCTCACCCTCCCTACCCCCTACTCTCTAGCTCTTTGTAATCATTCTCACTTTGCTCACGACCTAGCGGAGTTTCTTAATATGTGAGAAATAGTAAGCTAATCATGTATGTACATACTAATATTATGGCGGGGTTCGGTGTAGAAATCTCACCTAGAATGCCAACAAAATCCGTCGTTTCCCCTGTTATATGAATGCAGATGTGGAAGGTCTGTTTACATGTAAAAAAAACTGTACATGCAAGTCAATTCGGAGGCTGTGATGGTTTGGAGGACAGCCTCAAGGAGAGTCAATTAATTATTTGTTTAGAGGTTTTCCTTTATGCTGTTCATTTGCAACAGTATGAGAATTATTGCTCTGTTTATGGAGATTGTGCACAGAGGTGTACCTCTTTAAGGGTTGCATCCATCAAGGTTCAAATTATTAAAACTCCGCATGGATATGTACACACAAATAGAAATTGAACATTAAAGAAACTAACTTTTGTAGATTCCTTGAAGTCAACCAATCAGATGTTAGAAATGAGTATAGTTTTGCAATGACTGTCAAATAGAGTAACTTACCAAAACTGCCTGCATCAAATTAATTTGCAGACAGTTTTACAGCTTTTCCAGTTAACACTTAATCCCTATCCAGTTTTAACGCTCCAAGCCCCAATATGATTATAATAATATTTTTCCTTTTTGATGCAAATTCTGGTCAATGAAAGAGGTTATAAGAATAAATCATACACCAAAGTAAATTAATTGAAACAACTGTCTGCTAGTATTTATATACTATAGCTCCTAAGGAATTACAGTTTAGCACTTCTAACACTTTGCTACATGAATTTATGTAAAAATTATGCTTCCATTACGACTTGGTAAAGTTTTTGACATGTTCTCTACAATTTGGTGATAATTTGAGTGGGATCCATGTACCACCAAACCAATCAAACTCCAAGATGTTTTACGATAACTCTGGAATTTCTCGCATGCTGATTTTTTTAAAACTATTGTTAAGGCCATGGAAAAAAAAAAAGTAATAATGGTACAATTTGTTTGGTTTTTGTTACTTTTAAGGGACCGTCACTCTAGAGAGGAAAACAAGTGCGCAAGCAAAATGATGAGCTTAATGCAACGAAAAAAAGTAATGTCATATGTTTAACAACAAAGAACAAAAAAATATGCAAATACTGGTCATTGCTGAATGCATCTTTTAGCCATGAACAATGAATATCACAGACGGGACATCTCTTTGTATTTTTTCGGATTTTGGCCAATTTACCGTAGATTCAAGAGAGGACTTATAGAAAATAACCAAAAAATATCAATATTTTTTCTTGTTCTACACTCTACATTTGGGGTGTAAATCCATCATGTTATTGCATAAACTCGTCATCTTGCTCCTGCAATCGGTTAGTTTTTTTTCTCTCTAAAGTGATGGTCCCATAAAAATAACGCACAAAGTATAAACACATATAGAGATTGTATATTTGCAGTGCAGCTCAAAGGGTTAATTCTATTTGACAGTCAATCAAAAACTGCTCAAACAATGTTTAATGAATAAAACTCATGTGCTACCTGTGTGTGTATATTTTGCTATTTTCTATATGTTTGAAAACGGGGCGGAACTGTGGACATGATCACGCTGATGCAACATGAAATTATGATGCGATGAATTGAACCTGTGCCTCCGCTGAAATATGTCTATGAATGAATGAATTGCTCATGTCATATGGATGAATTAC